GGTCAGGACAGGGAAAGCCACATGTCCCTGGTTCCCCTTCTTTGGGCCTCTCATAGGGTGGGTTCCTGGCTGATGGGAGCCAAGGACCCATCGCAGCACAGACAGCTAGAACTCTGGGAGTTCCAGGACTGCTGGGTGGGAACATGGAGTTGGGGATGGCTGAGGGAAGACAAGAGGAAGGCTTGGGACTTTGCCTGCATGTAACCATTACCTTTGGCCTCCAGGACCCACTGCTTGGAGGTGACTCTAGTAATGGTCAAGCCGTGGTAAGGATGCATGGCCCTGCCCTCAGCAGTGCAAGATTGGCCTGGTGAGAACAGTCAGCTACTGAACCATCAAGACATGGTGGAACATAACCTCCCTGCCATCCTGCATGCCCCACTGCCAGTTCATCCCTCCCCACCCCCACCACAGTCTTTTAGTTCTATAACCATTGGAGCTCCCAAACTCTCTGCTTTGGCTGAAATGGCCCATGTTTCAGCTGTACCTGCTTCCTCTAAGCATGTTTGTTTTTTCTGTGTTAGGCTGGACTCAGCTTTGAGAGTAAAAGAGGCCATTTTTTTTTTGCTTGGGGTGCCCTGCCTCAGAGGCCATCAGTTCTAGGGGGCTTTGGGCATTGCTGAGGTTTCTTTGGGAGATGGTTGCTGGCATGAGTACAGCAGGTTCTTCTGTGTGGATGTCTCATGGAAATGGCTCGGAACTAGAGTTGAGGTTTCCTGGGATTTCTAGGTGTCACTCACCCACTCTGTGATCTTGGGCAAGGAAGTACCCTTCCCTCTTGGCCCCAGTTTTCTCGGAGAGGGGATGGTCCCCATGTTTCTAGGGTGTGCACATACAGAGGGGTAATCTTATCCACATGCCATGTGAACAGGGCATGGTCTCTCCAAGAAAAGATGAGTTTTGCTTCCGATGACTCTTCCTCAGCTTTCCTTTTTGTGCCTCTTTTTCTTCCTTGTCCCTCTGTCCCCATTCCCCTCCATTGGGGTATCCTGCCCTCTTCCCACCCTTTCCCCTCAGGCGGGGCCTTGAGGCAGGACCCCTGGGGCCAGGATTCTCCTCTGTTCAAATTCTGTGCTGCTGGAGCTGACCTCCTGGGTGCAGACCCCTCCAGAGGGATCTTCTGGAGACCACGCCCCTCTCAAATACATGGGGGGACTCTCATGGTGACACTTGCTGGCAGGCTGGCGCTGGAGTAGCGTTTGGGAAGCAGCAGCCTGGGCTGTGTCCTCCCACTAATCCCAGCCGGGGCCCCTCACAGCCTTTGTGTTCAGGAGCTGGTGCCTGTTTGTTGCTGGTTGAAAAGACTTCCTGCAGAGTTCACCCCGCCACCAATCTCCCAGCTTTCCCCACCCCTCAAATACCCGGGTCCTTCTGCTGAGCCTCACAGTCCAGGGGCGTGTGAAGGGTTTGAACAGGGAGACTCTCCTCCCATTTCCCAAGTGTCTGTGATATAGGCCCTTTCTCTGAAGCAGGGACACCAGCCCCCAGAACAGCCAGGCCTCAGGGCCCTGTCCAGACAGGTGGCCTGGCGCCTTGCCTGTCCCACAGGCCTGGAGCTCCAGCCCCTCAGCCTTTGACAGAGGTTTCATAAGGTCCAAGGCCAGCCTGTAGCTCTCAGAGGCAGGTTCCAGCTTCCTTCAGTCCTGGGCCCTCAGATTTGTCTGCAGGAACCTTGGATCTCGTTCTCTCTCAACCCATGCCCTTTGCCAAGATCAGGGCTCTTTGGAATTTATTCTTTTGGCGGGAGGGCTCCCTTTGATGACTGTGTCAAGTAAGATGGAATCTGGCCAGGTTGTTATAGGAACTCAGGAGAATCCCTGGAGTGGGAAAAATAATGAGAACACGGGGCCATTCACCATTCAGCATTGGAAAGTAGAGCATTCATTGTCCAGGTCCGGAGGGGCAGGCTTAGGGGTGGGGGCCTCGCTGCATCACTAGGAGGCTTTGGTGGTATTGAGGGGGTGTGTGGTGGGGTGTGCAGAGTGAGGGTCTGACTAAACTTGGTTCAAATACTAAATCACCCACTTACTATTTGTGTGACCTTAAGCAAGTTAAAACAAATAACACAATCCAATTTTGTTGATTAAATGTATTATGTCTAGAAGGAAAATCATCCTCACTTTTGGAGTTGTTATCTTAGGGATATGTTTACAGATTTAAGGTTACTTTTTGTACTTTTCCACTTTTTTTCCTGATATTTTCTTTAAACAGGATGAATTACTTATACAATGAGGGGAAAAAAAAACCACCCACAAAGCTATCTCCACTTTGGAAATGAACAGTATCCAGGAAGGGGCTCTTTAGAATCTAGGAGCTGCTAGACCCTTCTGTATTTGGAAGGGGAGGGACAGTACTTTTCAGACTTCAGGCCATTCCAAGTAAGAAAAGTGTTCCTGGCCCCCTGGCTGCCTACGCTTCTGTCTTGGGCCAGGCCTGGCTTAGACCAGTGCTGGCCACCACAGCGTTTCACATGTGGGTGCTTCACATGCAGGCCTGTGGGGTTGAGGGTGGCCTCGCTGGTTTGTCTGTGTTGGCAGTTATTCGTGCTGCCATGGTACAGGAGGTAGCTGTTCATTTCCCACTCTGGCAGCCAGTTCAGAAAACCCTGTCTGCCCTACTGAGGGCCCTTCCTGAGGCTACATCCTTCCTTTAGACTAAGGGGTTTATGTTGAGGTCTCTGCACTCCTGTGCCTAGCGAGTCTCATCTCTCCATCAAAAGGGGAACACGGCAGCTTCACTGGGTTTCTTCCCCCATGCTGGGCTTCCTTAGTGTTTGGGTCCCTCATCTGGACCTTGACATGAGCTTCCTTCTGTCACTGTTGTCTGTTTATTGTTTTTTTGCTGCTGTTGTTTGTTTATTTATTTTTGAGACAGTGTCACTCTGTCACCCAAACTGGAGTGTAGTGGTGTGATCTCAGCTCACTGCAACCTTTGCCTCCCAGGTTCAAACGACTCTCATATCTTAGCTTCCTGAGTAGCTGGGACTACAGACGCCCACCAACATATCCGGCTAATTTTTTTTGTATTTTTAGTAGAGATGGGGGTTTTGTCTCAAACTCCTGGCTTCAAGTGATCCACCTGCTTGGCCTTCCAAAGTGCTGGGATTACAGGTGTGGGCCACTGCACCTGGCCTGTTGTTTTTTGAGATAGGGTCTCATTCTGTCACCCAGGCTGGAGTGTGGTGGTGCAGTCATGCCTCACTGTAGCCTCAACCTCCCAGGTTCAATCGATCCTCCCATCTCAGCCTCCTCAGTAGCTGGGACTACAGGCACTCAACACCATGCCTGGCAAAATTTTTTTTTTTTTTCTGAGACGGAGTCTTGCTCTGTCGCCCAGGCTGGAGTGCAGTGGTGTGATCTCAGCTCACTGCAGCCTCTACCTCCCAGGTTCAAGTGATTTTCCTGCCTCAGTCTCCTGAGTAGTTGGGATTACAGGTGGGCGCCACCATGCCCGGCTAATTTTTGTATTTTTAGTAGAGACGGGGTTTCATCATGTTGGTCAGGCTGGTCTTGAACTCCTGACCTTGGGATCCACCCACCTCGGCCTCTCAAAGTGCTGATATACAGGCACGAGCCACCATGCCCGACCCATAGTTTACTTTTTAACTACTGCATAATAGTTATTGTGTGCATATATTGCTGTTTACTTATCCATTCTACAATGAATTATTTGCAGTTTGGGGCTACATAAATGCTGCTGCTATGAACATTCTTACACAACTCTTTTGGTGGGGACAAAGGCTACCTTCTGTCTCTGTTACTGTCTCTTTAGCTTTTAGACTTAAAAAATCATACAGTTTTATCCTTTTTTTCTCTTTCTCCCCATCAGTTACTGTAGCCATATGTACTTTAGTAGGTAAATCTCTGCCAGTGTTTTTAAAATGTTGAAAAGAAATTATATAAGTGCTACTTAAATACGTTCTCCTGGCCAGGCACAGTGGCTCACATCTGTAATCTCAGCACTTTGGGAAGCTGAGGCAGGTGGATTGCTTGAGCCCAGGAGTTTGAGACCAGCCTGAGCAACAAGGCAAAACCCCGTCTCTACAAAAAATAAATTAGCCAGGTGCAGTGGCGCATGTCTATAATCCCAGCTACTTGGGAAGCTGAGGTGGGAGGATCACTTGAGCCTGGGCTGTTGAGGCTGCAGTGTGCTGAGATCATGCCACTGCACTCCAGCCCGGGTGACAAAATAAGACCTTGTCTCAAAAAAAGAAAGGAAAAAACCCTCCTTATAAAAGCTTTCCTTTTTTTTTTTTTCTTCTTTTTTTTAGACTGAGTCTTACGGTGTCCCCCAGGCTCACTGAAACCCCCACCTCCTGGGTTCAAGCGATTCTCCTGCCTCAGCCTTCTGAATAGCTGGGCGTATAGGCATGTACCACCATGCCCAGCTAATTTTTGTATTTTTAGTAGAGACGGGGTTTCACCGTGTTGGTCAGGGTTGTCTCGAACTCCTGGCCTCATGATGAGCCTGCCTCGGCCTCCCAAAGTGCTGAGATTACAGGTGTGAGCCACCGCGCCCAGCCTAAAAGCTTTCAACATTACATTAAGATTAAAGTTCCTTGTGATACCCCTTACCAAGTCTTGGCCCTTTCCTCCTACCCCGAGGTAACCCCAGCCACCAGTTTGGTTGTTCTCCTTCTAGGGCTTTTCTGATACATTGACATATATAAATGTTCACATAGGAAATATTATTTGATACGTGTGTGTTGTTTATTTGGTACAACAAACAGCATCATACTGCTTGGCCATTTGCTTTTTCACTCAACAAAATATCTTGGGGAGATGACCATGGGAGCACACGTAGCTGTACTTCATTTTTTAAACTGCCAAGTAAGAACATTTAGGTGGTATTTCTTTATGATTTTGTGTGTGTCCCATGAACTGAGGGTAGGCCCGAAGCCTTGCGCTGGCAGTATTTGATACTGATGTAATCCCACAAAAGAAAAATTTGCAGGAGCCCCTGATCTGTGCCCCTCAATGTCTCTTTTCTTTCTTCTGCAGAGACGTCTCAGAGAGGCTGTGCAGCTGCTGGAGGACTATAAGCATGGGACTCTGCGCCCGGGAGTCACCAATGAACAGGTAACTGTGTGGGAGGTGGGAGCGTGGCCAGTGGGGAAGGGAAGGAAAGTGAGAAATTCACAACCCCTTCCCTGCAGCCAGAACCACTTCTTTCCTGTATCTACTTCTGCTGGTACATACCCCTGTGGACTAAAAGCTCTTTGAAGATGCTCAGATCTCTCCTGTGCTCTAGGTCCAGTGGAAAGCATGGAGGCCGATAAGGCTAGGGTGGTCCAAAGGCAGTGGCTTGGTGAAGCCAGCCTGCACTGGCTTGCAAGAGCTGATTGTGGGCATTTCTTCCCAATTCCACAATCACGGACCACGCAGTGGGAAATCAGCCATGATGGGAGTATTTACACCATAGACGTTGGCAAATGCTACAAATCAGGACTTTTTCTCCAGAGAATGGATTATTAAACGTTTACCAGCATACCGCTGCTCAAAAATTCAGGTTAAGGGTGGGAAAGATGGGGAGGATGTTGAGGATTAGGATTAGGATACTGTTGTTTTATTCTTTTTTAATATCGTGTAGGAACTCGCATTAGAGATACCTGAGATGTTGAAGGTAGTGTTTTGTTTTGGAGAGGATAAGGGAGTGTAGTAGTTAATGATTACAGAGACTGATGGTTCATGTGCCAAAGTCTGTCTTTTTGTTCATAAACTTTATTTCAAAAGCTTTTTCAAACATTAATTTAAACATTTTCAAAGTCACGTGTGTGCATAATTCAAGAAGTCAAATAGTACTAAAGTGCTTGTAAGGGGCTGGGCATGGTGGCTCACGCCTGTCATCCTAGCACTTTGGGAGGCCAAGGTGGGCGGATTGCCTGAGCTCAGGAGTTCGAGACCAGCCTGGGCAACATGATGAAACCCTGTCTTTACTAAAAGACAAAAAATCAGCCTGGCATGGTGGTGGGTGCCGGTAATCCCAGCTACTTATGAGGTTGAGGCGGGATAATCACTTGAACCCGGGAGAGGGAGGTTGCAGTGAGCCAAGACTGCGCTGCTGCATTCAGCCTAGGGAACAAAGCAAAACTCTATCTCAAAAATCAATAAAAATAAAATAAAATAAAATAGTGCTTGCAAGGAAAAATAGTATATGTTCCCCATCCCTTCCCAGTTTCCATGCCTGTTTCCCGGGAGCAACTACTTTTTGCTGTTCTGCAGATAGAAATTTATATTTTATCTTTCAGACAAATATGCTTATCTACACTGCTATTTCTCAATTAGTTCCTTTGGATTATCTATTATGTTAGTTGAGGATTCAGCTCTCTTATCATCCACCCCTCTAAACATACTTCTTTCCCCCATCCATATCCACTCTTGAAATAGTTATCATGGTTTTGGGGCCTATACATATTCAGTCTTCATGTTGTTAAAATTATGGAAATAACATTTACTGCATAGTCAGACTGGTTGTATCATGATTATGTCTCTTTTTCAACTTTGTTTTATCTGGAGTTAATAACTACCTCAGATTTTTCTTTGGCATACTTTCCTTTGTACCATCTCTCACTCTCACTGTACCCTCCCACGGCCTTTCAATACAGTCATGCACCACATAAAGACATTTTGGTCAACGAAGGATCACATACATGACAGTGGTTCCATAAGATGATAATGGTGGTCAGGCATGGTGGCTCATGCCTGTAATCCCAGCACTTTGGGAGGCTAAGGCGGGCGGATCACTTGAGGTCAGGAGTTCGAGACCACCCTGGCCAACCTGACGAAACCCTGTCTCTACTAAAAATACAAAAATTAGCCGGGCATAGTGGTACACACTTATAATCCCAGCTCCTTGGGAGGCTGAGGTAGGGCGATCACTTGAACCTAGGAGGTGGAGGTTACAGTGAATCGAGATCATGCCACTGCACTCCAGCCTGGGCAACAGAGTGAGACTCTGTCTCCAAAAAAAAAAAAAGGATGATAATGGAACTGAAAAATTCCTGTTGCCTGGAGTTGTCTTGACGATCCTGACCCTGTGCAGGCCTAGTCTGTTTGTTTGTGTCTTAGTTTTTAGCTAGTTTTAAGAGTTTAAATAGTTAAAAAAAAAAAAAAAAGTTGAAAGTTTTAAAATAGAAAACTTATAGAATAAGGATATAAAGAAAAATATTTTTGTACTGCTGTACAGTGTGTTTGTGTTTTAAGCTAAGTATTACAAAAGAGTTTAAAATTTAAAATTTAAAATTTTATAAAGTAAAAAATATACAGTAAGCTAAGGTTCATTTTATTGAAGAAATTTTTTTAAGAGGCAAGGTCTTGCTCTGTCACCCGGGCCTGGACTGTAGTGGGGCAATGTAGCTCACTGTAACCTCAAACTCTCGGGCTTAAGCGATCCTCCCACCTCTGCCTCCCTGAGTAACACACCACCACACCTGGCTAATTAAAAAAAATAAATAAATTTAGTGTGCTTAAATGTACAGTGTTTATAAAGTCTACAGTACTGTATAGTAATGACCTAGGCCTTCACATTCACCCACTACACACTCAGTGACTCACCACAGCAACTGCCAGTCCCGTAAGCTCCGTTCATGCTAAGTGCCCCATGCAGGTGGCCATTGTTTATCTTTTATGCCGTATTTTTACTGAACTGTGTCTATACACAAATATACACAAACCGTTTACATACACAAATATCTACCATTGTGTTATAGTTGCCTATATATTCAGTACAGTAACATACTACCCAGGCTTGTAGCCAAGGAGCAGTAGGCTCTACCTACCACGTAGCCTAGGTGTGTAGCAGGCTTGCCCATCTAGGTTTGTGTAAGGATGCTCTGTGCTGTTTCCACAATGATGAAATTACCTAATGATGCATTTCTCAGAACATATCCCTGTTGTTAAGTGACGCATGACTGTATTTTCAGTGCGCCTTTCAATCTGAAGATTTCTGTCTTTGAGTTGCTTTTTGTTTTCCTGAAATTTTCCTTTCTGGGGCCTACCTCCGAGTTCCAGGTCTTCCTTTTTCTTGGTGTATTTCATCATTTTGGTGGAACACCTCTTCTAGTCGCTTCCTGAAAAAGGGTAAATGAGAAGAAAGTTTTGAGTCTTTTTATGTCTGAAAAATTATAATTCTGCACTCAGCCTTAATTGACAGTTTGGCTGAGGAGAAAATTCTAGGTTGACAATCATTTTCCTTCAGATTTTTGAAGACCATTGCGCTATTTTCTTCTGGGTTCCAATATAGCTGTTGAAAAACCTGATGCCGTTTCATTCCTGATTCTTTGCGGTCTGTTTTCTTTCTTTGGAAATATCTAGGATCTTCTCTTTATCTGTGAAATTTGTTTCTGAAATTCCACAATGCTGTTTCTTTTAAAATTTATCATTTTGGATTCTTGATTACCCCTTTCAATCTAAAGACTCCTGTCTTCAGCTCTGGCAAAATTTTTAATTGCTTTCATCACTTTTTCTCATTCTGGAACTTCTGTTAGTCAAATAGTAGCCATCGTAAGCTGACACATAGCTTTTCTCACCTTTTTTCTCTTCTATCCATCACTATGGGCCAGAAGCGAGGGTAGGGCCTGGGGGATAGAGCAGGTAGGAAGCTGGATGAGGTTCTTGTCTGCACCACCAGAAACCAGGCAGTGACACTGAAAGCACATGATATCATGGCAGAGCCATGGAAGGGGTGACCCTCCCAGACTCGGGGTGTCTGGAAGAGATTTCTGCCCTGAGATGTGAGGGCTGACAGGGCTGGTAAAGAGCAGGTGGGGGTGGTCCAGGCAAGGAGGCCACACTGTACTGGAGATCAAGGGAGCAAGACCCTACAGAAGGAGAGAATGGGCAAATATGCTAGACTGGAGCATGGTGATGGGAGTAGAGGGCAAATGCGTGAGCAGAAGCAGCACCTTGGCCAGATGCTCCTGTGCAGGGCCCTGGGAGAGTGACAGACTTGCAGTACCTGCCCACACGGGGCCCATCTGAAGGTGTGTGCACTGTGTGCTGAGTCATGGGCAGCCGTCAGCTGGGAGGGCAGGCTGCGATCTCCTCTTTCCTGAGCAGTGGGACTTCTCTCTGGCAGTGAGCACCTAAGAGCCTGGATGGTGTGACCTGGTACCCCACCCTACTCAGGCCGAAGCAGTCCCCAGCCCCTTTCGTGTTCTTCTCAGACCTGTGAGAGTTGGATCCTGCCTCTGTGGCCTCTGGACCATGTGTTTGCTCCTGGCCCAAGCTCCGCTCTGCCCCTTTCTTACTGAGGTTGGCCTCTTGGGACCCCTTCCAGCTCCCAGAGTGTGGGGAATGAAGCCACATTACCTCCTCTTTGCTCCCTTCAGTAGCTTAAAGCTGCCTGTCCTGTTTCCCGGGCCTCTTTTGTTTTCTGTCCTGAAAGCCCCCATGTGCCTCCAGGGAGCTGGGGAGGAGGGGAACTGGGTGGAGGGGCAGCTTGGCACTAACTGTGCTTCCCGATTCTGGCTCATGTTGGTGATGCCTGCAGTGTCCATCTGGTGGCTGGGTAGCACAGTGCTCTAGGTGTGAGCCTGCCACTATGGCCCCCTAGAGGCAGATCCTCCTCCCTCCCTTCCCCCAACCTCCTGGCTCCCCCTGCACCAGCTCTCACAAATGCTTCCCTCCCTCGGCTTCAGTCAGCCAATATACATCCTCCTCTGACCTCCGCAGACACAGGAGCAGAGGGAATAAGTGGTGACATGGCAGCTCAGGGCTTGGGGGGCTTGACAATCCATAATTAACAGTGGCTGTTCCTGCTCCAGGCTGACCCTGCTCATCTGAAGTGGCCCGGGTGGTTCTTGGTCTCAGTCTGGACAGTGTCCTCACTTGCATCTGGGCTCTGCGCTTGCTCTGATGCCTTTGCAGGTGTGCGGGCCAGAAGCCTGCAACTGGGTCCCGAGGCCTGCAGGCCTGTCTTCGTGTTGTGGGCAGTGCTGATTAACTTGTGACACTCTCTTTTTTTACCCAGTTTGTCATCTAACCTGACTTCCAGGTACAACACCTCACCAGTGGGTATGCGCAAATGTATTGATAGTTTGTTCACTTCTGATGGCCTTGGTTTGGTCTTCTGTTGTGGG